GGCAGATGAAGTCAACGACAAAGAGACAAAGACTACAAAGAACTAAATATCGCTAGATTAAACAGAAGACCAAAAAACGAAAAGTCATTACATATTAACTTTTGCTAGGCAATTTTCGTCATACTGTTTATTTTTTTCACAATTCATGTCTTTAAAGAAATAGAATCGAGTTACCGTATCATCTAGATGTATTGGTAACTTGAAGTTCGTAGAGTAAAATGTATCAAGATTAGGCGATATCATTCCGGCATTTTTTAGCGGTAGTCGAGTCTAGCTCAGTTTAGCAACTTCAATACCTGGTCATTAACTAAACAGAAACCTAACCAAATATAATTCATCCGGAAAAAGTATTAAAACACCATCTTCGTTTATCTTTAATTTTCTCAACGTAAACTTTGAAGAAACTTGTTGTTCTGTAAAAAGCACAATGTTTCCCAAAGCAGATTTATCCTCCCAACTGGCAATTACAGACTCTCGCTTGCTCGCTAAGGATACCAACTCGAGGTCATTTATTTGTGATCTACACTTCTAGAAAACCTTTGCCGTTGAATGCAAGTCTCACTTATTCTTGGTTAACGAGGGCAGCAACAAAATGATGAACTCATTAGGCAAATTAATTTCGTTATGTGTTTTAACAAATCCAGTGTCGTGCGTGTTGCTTTCTTAGACTTATTTATGATATTTCAATCATCAATAGTTAATTCAGATGTAATGATTTCGTTATGGATGCACAATTGCGTCCTACCTTTCACGTGGGTCAATTGTTTCCTTGAAGAACCAATAGTACATAAGTGATCAAAGTCCCTCTAGCCACTGAATATGACGTTATAAGCGGTCTTCTTTTGTTTAATATATTTCCCTATTCGATGTTTGTTCAAAAGCTGCCAAAATGACTCTTAGAATAGTATAAATGACTCTAAGAATAAATGACCCTGAAAAAACAGTTCCGGCTTGAAGGGTATAAATCATCCTGTGTCCTGCTGAAGTGAGACAGATCCAGTTAGGTCTGCCACTGAACGCCCGGTGAACTTGCCCTGCTACCACCGCTCGCCATGTCTCCACCTGTACCGTTCCAAATGCTGTATTTGACAGTTCTTTTTTACTCAGGTAAATAATTTGCATTAACGATATATAAAACTGATATACAAATTGGTTTTAGTTACACTGAATTAAAAACGGGAATTAGGTTGGCACCATAAGAATTTGCTGTTAGTAGTAGCAGAAAGGTGTTACAACAGCTTACAACTGTATCTGTGATTGGTAAGGAAATTCTGTGTTTTTTTTTTTTAACTTAACAGACAAATAACTCGTTTATGCTTCATTTCTATATAATAATAAAAACTCGACCTTGAAATTTTAAGTCATACTTCAGTGTGGACCAAAGAAGCCAACAATCTCCAAGAACTTTCCTTGCCCGTCAAAATTATTTTCGTGCCCGCTAAAGCCCAGTGAGGTCGTTAATCATTTAATGTTTGATTGTTATTTCCTTAGATCTTTTAAATTTTATCAATATTAGAATAATAACGATAACGATATTCCATTGGAGCTGAATTTTTTATTGTTGATTGATTGATAATGTAACAAATTTACCTCACAAAGTCTGGTGTGGTCAGAAAAAAGATATGAGGAAACTTACCCTTAGTTATGACCCAACCTACAGCCAGACTGATAAAAGCATACTGGATACATATGAAAATTCGGAAAAACAAAGAACAACTTTGTTCAGTACTCACAAGCTTTCATTTCCGCCTTCAGAAAATGGCGCGTTAATATAGAACAAGCAATCCTTATATCCATGACTGTTTTCGTTTCCTGTCTCCTCGGAAAACTGTTTGTACATCTTGTTACAAGAAGCTAGCATTGACCAGGCCACAATTGCAAGACAGTATGTCAGACACGAAATAGTGTAGTTGGATAAAAACAGAAAATTCAGCGACCTAACCTTCGCTTTACTTAATATTGGCTGTATATGCCTCTGAAGCAACTTGACTTCCCCTGTAGCGAAGCTTGTAGAACTTCTGTCCTTGTCAATTTTTCTCCAGAAGGGAGTGTCTCTTAGACCAGAGACCAGCACCAATAACCAAAACGCAACTATACAACATTCACACTAACTCTACACCATGCATCCCAGTCATGATCAAATTTATAGAAACGAACATCATATTTGGTTAGTTATGTTAAATACTTCCGTGCCCAATTCGAAAGCTAAAATAATTATACGCAGGTGTCCAATAAACTAGCATAGTGAATAATATGAGCAATGATTACTAATATCTGTAATATCAGTAACATCACGAACTGAAACAAGTGTTTACAAGCCATAGATTCAGTACATTTCATAGGAAAAGAAGAGGAGAATAAATGTTTAAGACTAAAAAAAGTAAAACAAAGAAATGGCTGATTATCCTAACAGGAAAATTAGAAACGTGTGATGCATATAAACAAAATGAAGCCTTTTATAGAATGATACACATCACTATCTGTGACGTAGGGTTTGATATATACTCAAGGGTTGACTGCTAACACTGAAACGGAAGAAGTGTGCAAATGTGAAGCAAAACAATTCATTGTTAAGCCGTTTTCATTTCACTGTTCAAGTTTAACGTATTTCCCGGCATTATGCTATCACGACCCAGTATTACTTTTCTAAAGTTTTAGAAATTTACTATAAAAATGTCCTACAGCTTTGAAAACTGAATTTGCGGAATTGTCTGTACCATTTACAAAAATGGACGCAAAGCACATTATTTCAATAAAAATGAAAGATATCTAAGCAGACTGGATGTCTTAAAAATCCAATCCCAAGTGTTTTAAATTAAATCTCGCTAAATAACGGAAAAATTCTCCCCAGACGTTTGACCGCGGTGGAACTGAAGCTGGATGTAGCAGTTACTTTTGACTGATGGTGACTGACTATAAAAGAAGTGGGTGGTCAGTCGCTATTGCATTCGTTACTAATTGCGCACGTGTTTTCTGTTATTTTTATTGCTCAAATCCCTAATGTCCTCCGGCAATTTAGGCACTTGAATGTGTATTTCTCAGCGATATTAACCGTTGCAAAATGTTTCAAACGCTGCCCTTCGAGCCATCGCTTGGTTTATCCAGGACTGACAGATGGGGAAGGAGTTTTCATTCCACCTCCTTCCTTTCTCCCCACCTCAGAGTTTGCCTCTGAATGGACTCACTAAGTGTGTAGATATTTGGGCGATTGCTGGTGTTGTTTTTGAAAGAAGAGTCGACGAAGCGTCGCTTGCGAGTCTCATCATTTTTCTAAACACTCCAAACAACTCTTCTCGGTATTTATCTTAAATTCGGCACTTCTATAACACGTTTTATAATTTGCAACAAAGAAGTGAAACTTGGCAACTGGTACCTCATCTCTCCGGCAAACTCTTAAGTTAGCTTAATTTACCTGTAATAGGAAGTTTTCGATTCTGCCTGACAAATTATAACTCTAGGTCATTGCGTTCTTCATGTAAAGAATATTTAGTGGTTCCAAGAAGCAGATTGAAAACATATGGAGACAGAGCTTTCTCTATTGCAGGACCTAAATTGTGGAACGATTTACCTCTAGAGATTAGGAAATGTGCTTCAGTGGCAACTTTTAAGCAATCCTTAAAAACTTTTTTATTTAAGTTAGCATATAGGTTATGAGATTCCTTTTGTTTTAAGATGTTTTTGATTTATATAGTAGATACCTTTGGCTATATTTGAATTATATTGTATATTGTAGGTATTTTATAATTTAGATTTTTTATATTCTATTTTGTAATTAGGTAGCGCTTTGGACAATTATTGGATTTTAGCGCTATATAAATAAAATTATTATTATTATTATTATTATTAAATTAACTACAATTATGCTCTCCGTGGGTCAATCGAAGCGATTCAGTCGTTAACTGATTAATGGTGTGTGGAAAAAAATAAAAACGTGATATGATATTGCAATTGAACTCACAGTGAGCGATTTCTATTGTCATCTGTAGTAGCTTTTATTGTAAAATGGCATCAACAGCCGAATCGAAGATTACACGTAATCTTCCGCTTATCAAGCCCTGGTTGTAAAATATCATGAGTTACTTAAAAGAAGACTGAATCTTTGCGTTTTGTAAAGGTTCTTGTTATAACACTAGAAAAAGAGATAGTTTTACTCTTTCCTTCAACTGAGAAAAGCTTTTATACATACCGGCATTTTTTTTTATTTCTTCCATTTTTGTATGTTGCTGGAAGGTCAATCTGCATTCAGTAGGTTTAATTCGCAACAAGACAAGTAACCCAGAAAAAAATATGGTAAAGAACAGATGAAATGTTGACCGTTCAAATACTTCATCATGGCCAGAGACCCTCTCCTACTGAGAACTTGACAATTTCATTGTAAACATTACTTCACCTTGTTGTTTTTAAAACTGAAAGGCAACCCCTCTTTAGCAAATATCTGTCGCCAGCGGTTAAACGCAAACTGTTACAAATCATAATACAAGCCCTTTGGTCCGCATACGTCGTTGGATGCATATGTATATGCGTATGCCTTTGTTAACCTAATATCTGCTTAATTACTATCTATGGTAACGGCTTAGGAGATTTTTCTATTTACAGCCAGAATAACCTCAAAATGAGATGTTTACTTTAAATTTTGTTTTGCGGCTTGTCTGGCTTTATTCAATTGAATATAAAATATGAATATTCATTTATAACCTTGATTGAAACGGCAGCTTCTGCGCATGCTAACCTGAGCTCCAGCACACTATGTAAGTGCGTACATGCATAGTGACCTCACACAATGAATAAGAGTAGACACGCTTCTTTGGAAGACTCAAAAATTAGAATCTGGATATCAGTTTCTTTCCATCCGTTACGATGAAAGAAACGAAATAACGACAGGAAAACCTCTTGTCAGGTGCACTTTTGATCAAAAATCATGAGTCTGACTACAAAAACTCTGCCATTTGCTGGCACTACAAACCACCTAACAAATAAAGAAAATATTGTAGAATTCACCTTTAACGACGAGCAACTTAATATCTATTTCTACAGGATGTTTTATCTGGTATTCATCGGCGACAAGTGTTCAACTCCAGGCCATTTTCAACATGGGTGGGATAAAAGGTAACGTCATGTTCTACCAGTCGCAACAAGGTAGTCCCACAAGTATCTCACTTAACTTAACAGGTATCGAGAATGAAACCCTGACTTGGGATGTTCGACAACTTCCAATGATTTACGATGGTAATGCAGCTATGAGTTGCAGTCCAAGCGTAGTTGGAGATCTGTTTGATCCTGCGATGGCCATGAAATCTGCAGACTACAATAGCTCGTGCAGTCAATCAAGTTCTTCAAGATTTCAAGTATGTGCCACTGGTGACTTGACAGGAATGCTGGGAGCTATAAATGCCAGCAACGCACAGAAAAATTTTACAGACCAGAATTTGACTGTTCCTATCAGAGGGGCCAACAGCATCATGGGCAGAACACTTGTTCTTTACAAGGATGGCACACCAAGGGCTTGCTCACTGATTAGCCCGGATAAAGTTATGCTTACAGCAGTAGCTGTCTTCACTATGCCGGTTGCTGGTTTTGTGTATCTGCGGCAAGCTGATGAGAGCGCAGATACAACTATATTCGTTAACCTTTTCCATTCCAACGATGCTCAATCTGGTAGACGGGTTACATGGCAGATAAACCAAGCATCAGCTACTTGCGGAATGCCCGGTGACGTTTTCAATCCTGAAAACAGAGACAGGCAAAATTGTAGCCAGCAGTTAGAACACGAAAAATGTCTGATTGGTGATTTGACTTCCAAGCATGGAAACATCACTGTCTCCATGGCAACAAGAGGACAGTCCAAAACCAAAGTGGCCTTTACCGACACCAACCTTCCACTTACTGGTGTCAAAAGCGTTATTGGCAAGACAATTACATTGTTCTCAAGTGACGATTCAATGACCCCTTTTGCTTGCGCAAAGATAATGCAAGTAAAACCGAGAGTTCTCATATCTACTTTCAAAGCCAGTGTTCATGATGGTGTAGACGGCTATTTCAAGTTTACACAGCTCTCTCCCTTCGATCCCACGATGACGGAAATAAGGCTCACTGGATTAAGAAAGGAGTCTCAGGGATATCACATTCACAACTATCCCATGCCATGGCAAATGAAGTACACCGGAATGGAATCCTGTGCAGGGAGTCACTTAGGAGGACACTGGAACCCCTTTGGCGTGGATGTCAAGTCCAGTCCTTCGCCTGGAACTGGTATGTAGCTAAGTACAATTTTAGCCTCAATTTTACAATTTCCTCCTCATACAATTCTAAGAGCTGAAACGTCAGACACGCATGATAAACAGTTCACGTATTTTTCCATACGTTTTCGTGGACCACAAGCCCATTCAATTTATTTAACGATCACCTCATCTTCCATATTTTTGATGATTTCTCAAAAGTTATCTAGAACGTTACTCCAAACATCCATCACAGGGTTACCCAGCCGGTCGTCGGTACCCATTTATACCCCTGGGTTCACCACCAAAGTGGAGGAAATTACTTATCCAAGAAACCTACTCTGCAGCCTGACTTTAGCCCGGATCTTCGGATCTCTCACGAGGTTGTTTTTAACTTTGACACTCCTTTTTTAATAGGAACGAATGATCAGTACGAAATCGGTGACCTAAGTGGGAAATATGGAACTTTTCTTAACCTAACAAGCTACAACGGAACGCATTTGGACTACAATCTTCCATTGTTTGGTAAAAACAGCATCCAGGGTCGTTCTGTTGTCATCCATAAAATGAAAGTAATGAACAGCATGAGATGGGTCTGTGCAGATGTCCATCAGAAAATGGCTGAAGTGGACAAAATGTTTGTCATGAAAACCAAAATAACTTTTACGGGTCCAGATGTTATGGGGTACATACTTTTGGTAAGTGAGTTTTATTGCCATTATTCTGTCTAAAAACGCGATCGAGGAGAAAAAAACAAAAACAAACGACCAAAAAAACTTTTCAGAAAAAAAAAACAGCAGAACTAGTTGATAATTCTAACTGTCAGAATTGCTATTTATGACACTCTTAATTTACTTTTAATGCTTGTATTCTTATAGATATATATAGCGATACATTCTTATCATACATTTTCATAGATATAATTTCATCACTATATTTATCATCTTAAGCACTTTATTTCTGTATCTGTTTTTGTTGTGTCCCCAATTAGCTTGTAAGCTAAATATCCTGACACGTAAATAGAGTTTATTATTATTATTATTTTGGCAGACCGATCATGCTCAATTGAAACAGTTGTACGAGATATTTCTCTGCGCTTGAAAATATGGCGTAGCATTTTTATGTCCATCATATTTAAAGATTTGTTTTGTTTTTACTTCTTAAGGGAGCTGTGTCACGAAATTCAGCCAAATTAGGAAATTACAAAATGCCCGTTAAATTAAGAGAAACATAAAAATAACCACTTTTAACTTTAAAGGAAGGTTAAAATAACATAACAGAAACAACAGATGCCACGGATGGGCAAAACTGAAAAAGACTGAAACGGATTGAAATTAGGGTTTTTGAAAACTCTTCAGCCTAACAGGTTTTTAAAGTTGATCCCTGCTGCTTGCAACTACAAAAAATAATGCTCAGGAGACATATTTGTTTGTCTCGCATCTCTGATTTTGTCATTTACATGTAATTTCTTTGCTTCTTTTAAGTTCCATAGTGATTGAGGGCGCGTAATTGGCAAAATGAAACTAAAAAAAAAAACTGGACTGCTGTGACACAGCCCCCCCTGTAAGGTAGTCAAGCGGACAATGAACCATGTCCAATTCACTGATTTAGTTCATATACCGTGGGACATATGTACATAAGTAAATATCGAGATAAGATTTTCCAGAGCATTTATGCATTTCCAGTCATGAGAAAAAAAGAGAAGACAAAACATATAATATCAAAGCAAAGACAAGCATGCCAAAATCTTTCACTTATACATCAACCTCATCTAATTTGTTATTCAGATTGACCATAAATACACTTATGCATAGTCTTGACAACTGTATCAACTCCACTTTATAGATACAGTACAAGACGTCCGATAGCTCTATGTCGCCCGAGGAGACATCGATTTATGTTCATCTGTCGTATGGGAACGAGGCAAGCAAACAGGTAAAATAATAGTTAGCACAACTACTTCTTTGTTCTATCTGAAACTAGCTGCATGGTTAGCATAACTTAGCTTGAGCACACACCAACCGGTTGCAAATAAGACAAGGAAAAAGAACGCGAGAGTGAATAAGTTAGCCCGATGGGAAAATTGAAAGTGGGTGGGGGTTGTTGGGAGGCCGGAACCTATTTCCCCTCCCCTTTACCTTCGATGCTTCGTTTTAGCGCCCTGCCCCCCGATCGATAGGCTGCCCGGTACACAGGGTTTGTAGTCTCTGAAAATATCAAAAGTTTTTTTACGCCATTTTCTTATTCGGTTACTGTGGGCTTGTGGTATAGCGAAAGTCACGCTGACGTCATCTGTTGATATTAAAGGGGCTATGTCAGCTGGAGAGCATGCGCTCTGAGGTTATGCAAATTACTTTCAACTGTAAAAATTCTATTGTTTTTAACGCGTGACTTTCTCCATGTGCGCTGTGAGGTTATGCAAATTACTTTCAACTGTCAAAATTCTATTGTTTTTAACGCGTGACTTTCTTCATGTTCTCTGTCACGTCCAAGGTTCCGAATTTAGAGAGGTTTAGGGAAATGGGTTTAGATAAGGGATATTTCGATAGAATTTATGGAACGTTTCTTCTCTGGTTATGCTAGATCAAGAATAAAATTGCTACGACAATTTTACTTGTAGTTTTGAAGTAAAAACGCATGCCATTCATAAAATAGAGCGCAAACAAAAATTCAACAACAACATATTGTCTTATTCAACAAAATAAATGGAAGTTGTATTTTACAAACGAGCTACAAAAGACGCTAGACCGAAGATAAAGACCAAGACCGTTTCAAATCATAAACAATTAGACTTGTCTGTCGCTATTGATTTTATAATTTAGATGCTGATAGAACAAGAGACCAAGTCTTTGTTTTGATCTTAGGGAAACATACATTATCGCGCAAAATTGTTCGATCGTGCCTAATCACTGAGACGTCGAGAAAAACAGAACCCAGCATCATTGGTATACTACTCCACTATAAGCAGTCCGTTGATAAAAAGGGAAAGCAAACTCTGCTATTTTCCAAAATTATGCTCCAACACAAACAGTTCAAAAACATGGCATTTACAGGATCTAACTCGTACTAAGGTGCCTCGATCATCTCTAAGTCCGTTGAGAACAATCTGGACGAGCAAACGGTCGTGTTTATCTTTGCCGTGAATCGAGATAAATACAAGAAGGAATCTAGCCGAATTTTAGAATGTTTCCTTCGCCAGAAGTTTAGTTTCGTCACGAAACTCATGGCCTGATGCTCTTGTAATCGTTTACAAAAAACGGCCGCCGCCAACTCGATAGCCGCTTCATTATATGTCCACATACTTTGAGCTCAAGAAAAATCCAAGAGCCAGCAGCCTCTAAAATAACTCAATAGAAAGGTCCTGTGAACTATAGGGAAGATTCCATCAAAGATTCCATCACTCATTGTGGAGTAGCCGTCATTAACTCTGCCATTACAACGGCCGCTGATAAGAGGACACAGTAAATCCACGTAAGAACATTCCACAGGCAAACAATTTCAAAATAACGCCAAAAAATTGTTCTGTAATCACCATAGAATGATTCTTAATACAAAACTTCGCTAACTATCGAACGATGGCTGAGATTTAGACGGATAAAAACAGCCTTCCAAAATCTCCGACACAACTTGAAAAAGTTGGGCTGTCTTTTTCAAGTTTGTTTTCATTGGCTCGCGCATGCGTGTTGGGTGACATAGCCCCTTTAATATGCCAATCACAAGCGCGTTGGTTCTTGCAACAAAAGATTCTTTTGTTTTACTACAATCTCTGTAAATAGTGATGTATCCTATAGCTTGACTTGCGGTTTTGTTTTTCTTTATCAGAGTATGAATCACTCGTGGCACGTGCACGTGAAACCCGAAGGAGGGGACACGCACGCTGCGATGGGCGAGAGATGCAAGAGTCTGGGGGGACATTATAATCCTTACAATGTTGACTTGGCTGTAAGTATTGTCGCTAATATAATAAACCTTAAGCTCTTAATGGTAACTTACGATCACGATTCCTTTTATCACTGCTTGAAAAGACATGTTTTTTGCCAGGACGTGGCGACTATGAAGTCTCTGAAATGAGATCATACTTGTTACCGTTTAATTAACAAGGATTAACTTTATTTTCTAAATGACCTTAGGTAGTCCAGGAAAGGCATAAGAAATATACTCTGCTGTTCTCGTGCACTAGTTTGCTAATTTGCCGTGAGAAAATACTTATCTGATAATAACCAAAAGAAAAATTTAAGATGGTCAAACGGTTGCTCAGGCCATGTAAAAAATTTTGTCAGTTGTGAGTTAACCACATTTGTAAATCATTTGTCACTTAGATTTTGGGCTATTTGTCAGTTGTCATCCATTACTGAAATTCAAGCCGTTTTTCAATTGTGAACATGTTAGAGAGCCGTTCTGACTTACGATGTTCAGAATCGTTGGTTTGTTTGATACACCTCCTAATGGCATAGCCTGACATATACTTAAAAAAGAACCAAATAAAAAAGCTAATTCTTTCCGCACACAAAAGTTAAATGCTATTCGGAAGGTGAGTAAGAAGAATATCATTGGCAGTGAAGCTTGATAAACCTTAAAAAAATGGACTACAGGATGTCGTGTTTCAGTTGCTAGGTTGTAGTGCTCTTACGCTTGAAAGATCATTTTGTTGTATTCATTACTTACAGATCTATACTGTATGTTTGTGTTTACAGGGATCGTATAAGTCATCCTGTTTTTCTAGCAACATGTTGCGTTGTGAAGTTGGTGATCTTTCTGGCAAGCATGCGCGGTTGAATGTTGGTTCAGGGAAGCAGTTTTATACAGATCCAAGCCTTCCATTATTTGGAGAAATGTCAGGTAAAAGAAAAACCTTAACCTCTACTTACATGTCAATAGTTTCTCCGGGAGTTTTACTGTGCATCACCAAAATAGGAAGGAAACAGCACCAGACTGTTCAAGAAAAGAAAAATGGTTTTACTTAATGATCAGTCAGTGGTCATGACCACTTACAGCAGCTAATTAAGTGTGTGAAACTGTTTTTGACCACTGAATGGATTTGCTAGCCTTTTTTAATAGACAATTTCGAACAGTGATTCACTGATGTGTGCAATATTAATTTTTTTCCAGTTGTTGGTCGTGGGGTTGTCGTGCACGCCGAAAACGCTGGAGCAGCCCGCCTTGCTTGTGCTACCATCAAACCAGTAGATTCTCTGTATGTTGAGAAGACACTACACTACGTAGAAGGGACGACATTTTCCAGGTAGGTTTTGCCCAGTTGAATTTGCATGAGATAGATACAAAAAGGGCAACAACAATTTCCAGCTTTTTCGGCTAACATAGGGGCGGGGGCGGAGCGGGGGGTGCTTTAACACAGAGATTGTTATGTTGCTATGGTAACATGTTTTAAATATCAAGGAAATGATCTCCATTTGCCCCCAATAGTTGCCATTTGTTTCATACCACTTTTAAAAGGTGTCAGCAAATGGTAAAAATACAGACGCGCTTGTCATCAAAGAGTAAGCTTTAAGGAAAAACACTGAAGGCTGCCACCTTAAGTGGGTGGCCGAGATAACTTGTCATAAAATCGTTTAAAATTGGCGCCAAAACTTCTGTTTTTCTCCCTCCTTTAAACCGTTTTGAAACTCATAGTCAAGTACACCAGATTAAAAATTTCCACTTATAGTTAAATAGAGAATCTGATGCTAATTTCCGCACAAGTTGTCGAAACGTCAGACAACTGATTTTGCAGGCAGGTCAACACTCAACGGTTGATCATATACGACGAGACCTGCTCGTAAAATAACCCCTGAGTTTTGATATTTCACCTTCCAGTGATAAAGGGATTACGAATTCCTCTGCCGTAAACTATCACTACCGTACTCATTAAAAAAAATGTTAGATATATATTGCGATTTTGAAGACGGCGATAGCATCAGAACGAAACCCGGGGATGGAGGTGGGACGCGCCAAAGCCAGGGGAAAGCGCCCTGGGGACGAGGTAGGATATACACACTCCTCGCTCGATCATAATATTCAAGACAAAACTGAATTTAAAATGTCCTTTCGTTCTCTTGTAGATTGAACTTTACAAAAAGGGTTTCAGCGTTGCTTAACATCCCAGAGTGGCGGATATTTTACATTAGAATGGAGAACAGTCAAGTTCAAGGCTGTATGACTGTCAAGTTTGGAATCATGGGAAATGGTTAGTGGTAAAGTGTAAACCTTTGTTAGTCTCTCGATCGACCCATTTAATAAAATTGTTATAGTCGATGAGTCAATATAAAGGGGGAAAACTCATCCAATTCATTAGATTTCAAAGTTATAAAAGCTTCAATCTTTAATTTTGTGCAAAGAAATTAATGTATGTCAGCCCTCCTTGGTGAACTGCTTTGCCAATTCGTCATGAAATTGAGATTCAGAAACAAAGTTGCTCAAGTCATATCTGTTTTAATTTAAAAGCTCGAATGCTCGTCCGGTGTTCGCTGACTGTAATCACTATTTTTTATTCAGAGGTGCTACGATTATAGCTTTATGACAAAAGAAGAGTAGACTAAGAGTTATTCATGCTAATGAGGGAGAAATTTTGAACAAGGATTACGTAAGGATTCGCCTCTGGTGTGATTGTTTACAAGTAGAGAGGTTTTAATGATTTATATCTTTTATTCAACCACTGACAGAAAAGCAAGTCGATGAACCATCCAAAGCCTTCGATCTAATTTTACAAAGATCCTCAGGAAAACTAATGGAGTTTCAACCCAAAGATAAATGTCGCAAAGCAGGTAAGAAACAAGAGACATGTTTTGCTGTAAAGTTACAGTGTGCAGAAATTGCAAAACAATATATGGAATTTCCCAATATTCTGAACTACATCATGCAGGGATCATGTGCCAATCTGAGGATCGTTCTTAAACGCTAGGGCAACAGCATTGTTTCTGACTTGCTCCTGGGGGAGTGCTTCAATATGAACGTGATGGAGATCTTTGGGGAATGCCTGACATGATATTTTGGCTCTTCCTAGCCTCTGTTGCTAGCCGTTCTTTGGTTCGTTTCCTTACCACACAAAAATTGTATTAGACTAATCAATACCCTGAGAGATGAATTCTCCCTAAAAGACTAGACAAAACTAGGATCAATTGAGTTCCGTGTCACTGACCTCCTACCCCTCCCTTAAGACACAATGTTTCCCTAAGCGAGAAGTAAGTGTTAATGTTGACTTAGGGAGGGGTAGGAGGTTAGTTACCCGGAACTCAATTGATCTTTGTTTTGTCTAGCCTTAGAGAAAATTCATTCAGTTACCCACAAACTCAAAACAAGCAAGGCGTGGCGTGGGTTTAAAAAGAATCCTCTCACCCATCTGGGCAGTACCCTCAAGACTGAACCGGGCCGTCCTGGACTTTGTGTCAGGACGTCTCCGACATGTGTGATAAGCAAAGTAAACGGGGGACGTCTAAATTCAAGTAAAATTGCAAGCCCACGTGTAGGTCGAGAGCATGAACACCTTTTTCAGTTTTAGTTTCAGTTTATTTATTTGCCAGAAAAAAATGTATATACATAGCTAGCCGGATTTTTTATAACTTTATCGCCAAATGCCAAATGGACCTTTTGCTTTTTTTTGGCATTGTTTTTTTTTTCTCCTCCTTTCCTTCTCCTCTTTCTTTCTTTTTCTCCTTTCCTTAATTTTCCTTCGTTACTATGATTTCGGAGCTTCTCGGGCATAGGAAACATGCATGCCTTTTGACGCTTCTTCACTCAAATGACTGCAAATTTCGTTAGGTTGGTTTTCAAAAAATCAGCTAGATATACAAACCGACATTCAATATATTACAAAAATATTTAGTTAAATATTGAGGAGACGTGAATTGTAAGAATTCAAAGTATTGCACGAAGGCTAAACAACAATCCTTGCATCGCGATACTGACGCCTTTTCTCTTCTCTTTTTCTCTTTTTTTTTCAGAAACTACGACTGTTGTTTCTACCAGTGCTGCAAGAGCTAATTGCATTAACAAGTTCATCATTCTTTCGAACGTTGTTTTAGGTATAGCATTGTGCATACGCTGATGAAGAAAACTTATCTCTGATAATTAACCGTCATAAACAATCAAATGAGCAGAGTATGGCTCACCATACGATATTTCCAAAGAAATCAGCCCCTATTACGGTAATATTTATCGTCATCATTGTAACATTGACAGTAATGTAATTATGAAAGTTACACTAGGTCATGTAATGAGGCGTACAAGATAAGACAGTATATTACTCTTAGGTAGTCTTTGACAATCAAGTCGGAATCAGTGATCAATTAGGCGTGCAATTTTGTTGCGCCCCGATTCGTCCTTACACTATGGAACACAATTGTCACACCGGGCGCTCACAAGGCAAATTTTAAGGGGCCTGTTTAAAGGTGCCATGAGTGCCATGAATTGCATAAATGGTTGAGCAGCCTTCAGATAGTGGGGGCCTTGAAGTGGGAGTTAAGCCCTATCTCCTCTGCTAGTCGCCGTCCCTTGAACAGAGATGCGAGTCAGGGAGTGGGTACGTCTGAACCCACTGTTAAAGTATACATGTACTATAATATTGTGTAAAAAATTGTACATTAAAAGCATTCAATGATTTTTATCGCCGTAAAATACGAGATGCTCTTCAATAGCTGTGAGCTAACCTTTGTTTTCCTAGCGGGTAAATTTCCCTAAAGACAATTGAATTCCCAAGTATAAAAGATGATGAAAATACAAAGACCACACGCAGAACATAGAAAGACCCTGCTATGCCCAGTTGACTATAGTTCCTCGTGAGGTCCTGAGTACACAAGCGCGGCTATTTAAACCTAACGCACGATTAAAATGCAATGGGTTGAAGAGCCCACGTTCCATATATTAAAATTCTAACATAACTCCGCGGCTTTAATTCTGGTCATTTTTCTATATTTGGTTTGGTTTTCTTTGGGCTCAAGTCTGTTCTGGGAATTGCGAGACAATGGAGTCGTGAGAAATTTGTAATTTTGACCCTTATGCCTCTGAGTCATGTTAGAATTTTAATAATATCGAACGTTGACAATTCGAGACTCTATTTCAAAGATGTCCCCGTTTTTCTTCAGTCTAAAAAATTTGTTTCATGAATTCCAGAATCCTTCATGTAAACCATTCATGGTGTCTGCAGCAGTCACGGCAAAACTTTTCACTAAAAGCTTTTGTAATGGGTGTTGTGTTTTCCGATCTGCGCGTGACTAACTTTCCGGCTCAACCTCGGTGTAAGAACCTTTCAAACTCATGCACGGGTGGCGTAAAACAAAGAAACCAAAGTGAGTGGTGTAATAGCTAGTGATTCAGAAATTTCTACAGGAAAACTGCTTGGACAGCCCCACTGCAGCCTGGCCGAAGGATGATGGTGGCGAGACTACTTTGGCTACTTTATGAAAACATCCTGATTATTGAAACCATTTGTTTCGTTATTCATATTCATGCATATTATCAATTTGTAATAATTGAGAAATGTTGTCGCTTTGAGGCCAATACTCAACTGGGTCCGGTTCCTAGAAAGACGGTTAAGTTTAACCCAGGATTATGCGAAATTTCAAAATTTCAAAATGTTTCTCTAAGCAATGCATTGGAAGATAAATACAAAAAGTGGAATAAACCTTAATCAAAGCTCATTAGTATTAGTAACTGAAGATATATAATGACTGATCCGTCATTGATTGCACCTGGAAAACTTATGTTAACGTTTCTCTCTTATTTGCTCCACAGAGCAGTTATGAGAAATGTTTTGTCTGATCGTGACAAGACTGTACAGATGAACGAAAATACGTTTATCATTACTCCGCGGAAACAATAAATGTGCAGTCGACTCCCGATAACTCGAGCAGTCGCTAACTCGAACCAAAATCGATTCCCCCTGGATTTCCTTCATACATTTACTGTAATTTTACGCTCGGAAACTCAAACCTCCCGTTACCTCGAAGTCATTTTTGTTTCCCCTCAGATCATTTCTATTTTAATTTACCCTCGATAACTTGAACCATGTTTTGAGCGCTTATTAAGTCAGGAAAAGAACAGTGTAATGGTGTCAGAACATTAAGTCGATTATTTAAACGAAGTCTAACTTAAGCCGCGGCGGCCAGTCTCAGGAGAAAATGACGTCTGTCCCTCAGGGCTCTCAGGCTATGTTCATACCATACGTACCGGATAGCTTTTCAAGCAGACACGAAATACTTTCCGGTAAATGAGTATCCTATGCGATATGTGACGCTCCACTTCAGAGATCGGCGAGGCACAGCTTCTCTCCGTTACGCAAATCGCGCCGAAATCACCATTCTTATGAGTGAACACAAGCCCCATATGGTATGGTTTTCGTGCCGGCGCAAAGCTATCCGATATAGCGTGAACATGGCCTTGGAAATTTTACAGTGCGAAGAAGGCCAAAGGTATTCATTACAAAAAAGCGACAAAACAATATATTATGTAGCCTGCAAAACAGGCGTTATTTGGGGCGCTTTGGTGGGTTTCGCGGTAGGCACGCGAGCCGAAATAAACAGTTCTTTTTCTCTTTCTTCTCTTTTCACATGTCTCGCGCTTTGCGCTTGCTCCCTCAGATCTCTGAGCAAACTACAATAAGTGTTTCTATCGTGAGTGTTTTTTAAAAAGGTACTTATCACTAAAAAACACACCTTCGACATTGAGCAACGTGTATCTAGCCGAATTTTTGAAAACATACCTCAAAACGGGCCAGAATATTCGCACAGGAACCTGGCGATAGCCAGGGTTCTGGTCACTGCGGTGACAAAAAACATAGGGGGCTTGCTCTCCTGGTTGGTCTCATTGTCAAGCTCAGTCCCTGAGCTAACTCGCCATGGGTTGGAAACGGGGCCTCCATGTCAATCCCTAGAGGGGGGAGGGTGCTGCAAAAGCGTGGTACCTTCTGTTAGTCTAGCTCTGCGAGAGTCATTGCACTGGTCATTAGTTTAATTTGTCATGTCAAATTCTTGTAATGTTTGAGGCCCATTGGCCAATGAAAGCATTCCCCTCAAGCACGTGCTAGGCTTGAGGGGGTGGACGAAGTCAGGGGGGTGATTTAACCTTGAATTCTCTGCTTAGAGCGTGGTCAAGTCTCAAGCATACTCCGTCATTTAGGACCTTTAAGCAGTTAGAGTGTATGGCCAAGCCCAGAGTGTCTTTTTGATGAACTTGAATGATTCTTTTACTAATCCGGAACCAAGAGGAACCAACAAGTAATTTAGTTGGGTAGAGCAAATATTAAAAAAGAAGAAAATCCAAAATAATTATTATTTGACTCTATACTGAGTACATCTTGTATTTGTCCGGTGTTGGAAGGTATTATTATCTGCACCTTGAAATCTCAGTCAAGCGAACCCTGCGATATAAAGCGGACACGCTTTATTATTATAAAGAATTAAAGGAACAGTCGAACAGCACTCCTGCTTAAAGAACCTACTATAATTGTTGTCTAATCCGACCTGAAAGGTTGAAATACATGTGTCAGTTTTAAAGTAAAGAAAATATCGAAGAGGTCTTGTGAAGGAAAAGTGTACTTATTCTACGTAGTCATCACTTCCTTAACAACCCTGAGGCCAACATGAGCTTATTTTAACCCCCCCTCCTCCCTTTCATGGCTTTTCTACCTCAGTGCTCCATTTTACGGTTATTTTGAGCTCCTTAAAGCTACACGGAAAGGAAAGAAGTCGAATCGAACTCGGGACCTCACGCAAAGGAAGCCCCGGATTAACCAACTGTGCCAATCGTTGCTCCTAAAATCAATAAAATCAAGGACCTTTAATTTTGTGCTGGCGAAACTGTTTGCGTTTTCTACAGTGACTTAAACACCGACGCAAAGTGGCTAAAATTTAACCAAAGGATGACGCATGAGGCACGTCAAACAACTTAAAATAGAAACGTTTCTAGGAAACTGATATAAGTAAGACTATTATTTCAAGATTGGTTGAGTTTTGTGGACGATAAAACAAACAACTCTTATATTGATAACCCACGAACATGCCAGTATCGCGGTTACTGACTTTACCACATAGAGCACTGGGGGGTGAGAGCGGTATCAATTCAAAATTGAAGACTTAAAAAACCGCGGAAATGCTTTTTTATCAGTTTAAGCCAGGATAGCCTGTGAACAGGCCTTTGGTCGAGCGGGGAATTAGGGAGAGGGAAAAGCGAAAAGGCCTGTGGACAAGCCTTTGGGACCGCCGTTCCACGGCACCCGCTGTGCATCAGATCCTGATGCAAGTTCTTATTGGCGAGAACACTGACTGTTGACAGGTCTGATTGACATCGGCTTTTCGGTCGGCACGTAACACGCGTTTGGAAATAACAAAACACTCCAAAGACTGTTAAGCTTGTTCAAAAGCTATTACCAAGGGAGGAACTACGCGCTCCAGTCAAAAGACTCACACTATCTATATAAATGGATAGAAAAACACTAGGCTGGAGTTTACCGAGTCAAAATGCAATTCTCCATAGTTGATGTAGCTTCGGTTTAAGCTGCACTTGAATCTTATAACTTTGGATCTGTAAATTACCATCCGTGATCATTTTTTAAAACATTCTGCAAAGAAAACTAACGACCTGGACCCAGCGTGATACAACATTTCAGAAAAACATCACATTTACGGACTAAAGAAAATCGCTTAGTTATTCAGATCCAGAGGGCACTCGCCTTTGGAGAAAAGTACGACCCTTATTCAGCCGCAATAAAAAGCTTTACGCTTCAAAAGAGGTCAAAGAAAATGCTCTTGCATCAGAGAGGGCAAACCCTGCCGACCAGAGACAAAAACCACAGTAAATCGATATGTATGTATGCCATGACCTCTCAGTGTGAAACCAGTGAAACCAGTGACTAAAACCATATTTGCTCAGTGAAAATGTAGAACCTTCCAGAGCATAATCTACCGAGCAGAGGAAAAAACTTATGGGAACAGGCAGCATTTTGGCGTGAGGTAAACGCCCTGTAGGCCTACCGCCCTCTTTTATTGCTATAAATGCGGGATAAATACCCAAAGGTGTAATTCCTGTCGGCGATCGAAGCGCTGTTGATTT